TCCTCAGCATTTAAACAATTCAAAAAGAGCATAATAGCATACAGTATCAAGATTCTCTGTGTATTTTTCATCTTTGTGCAGCTTTATTTTAACTCTATTTCTTTTATTTTTAATTTTATTTTTTGCTTTTTGGGACAGGTTCTCTGTATCTTTGACCTGGAATAACTCTGTAGACCAGGCTGTCCTTGACCTCTCAGAGATCCGCCTGTCTCTGCCTTCCAGGCACTGGGATTAAAGGTGTGTGCTACCACACCTTGAAGTCACAGAGGTCAATCTCCCTCTGCCTTCCAAGTGTTGGGATTAAAGGTGTGTCCTACCACACCCATCTACTCTCTTTCTTCCTTTTTTTTTTTACTTTTAAGAACTTTAACTTTTAGTTTGCATATATTTTTAACACACTGTAAATTATTTAAAAGTTTTCTTTTTTCTTTGAATCTTTCTTTTACTGTATATGTCTCTTTTTTGACCACATGAGTCTTTAATTTACCAAGCAATATCAGTAGGACTAAAGCCGTGGCTTTGACAGCTGAATCCAGCCCATTCCTTAGCTTTCCAGCCTCATGGCTGAGATACTGGCTGTAGCCATGTTTACTGCCATAACTGTATGGCATTTCAAGGTCCCTGCCAGCAAGCGAGCTTCAGCAGCCTGTGCTTGCAAACCGCACAAACCTCCTGCATAAAAGAGTCAGAGTTTGCCCTGGCAGGACAGCCCAGAAAGCCGGCATTTTTAAACAGTGCAGCTTTTTTCCTGTTATGGCTGAAAACTGAAAAGCATGCATTTAACTTTTTGTCAACACCGTTTAAGTGTTTCGTGGCAGGTCCTCTTAATGAGCTGCAGGGTTTTGTAGCTAAAGCTGAGTCAGGAAGCCTCTCTTAGATGAGAGTGCTTGCTTGCCTCTAGCAAGCAGAGAAGACCCGAGAAATTGTTGCTACCAAGAAAACATGCTTTACTCTTTCCCAAGCTTTCTCAGGCTTTCAGTGGATTCAGTTGCCGCATGTTGGGCGCCATTCTGATGTAGGAGCTGCGGGCCTCTTCCCACCGCCTGGCTCCTGCCGCCCCAGCTTGGCCGTCTGGCTATCTTATGCTCCAAAATAACAACACACAAACTGTATTCTTTTAAACACTGCTTGGCCCATTATATCTAGCCTCTTCTCTGCTAACTCTCGCACCTGGACTAGCCCATTTCTAATAATGTGTGTAGCACCCCAAGGTGCGCTTACCAGGAAAATTCTAGCCTATGTCCATCCTGGGTTGGAGTTTCATCGTGTCTGCTCCAGGGAGCAGCAGCAGCAGCATCTGAGCTCACTTCCTCTTCCTCCCAGCATTCTGTTCTGTTTACTCCTCCCACCTATGTTTTAACCTATGAGGCCAAGCAGTTTCTTTATTACTTAACCAATGACCTTCCTCCATCAAGTATCCTCTGAGATTCGAGGCAAACCTTTAGCTGTGAGCCACCTAAAAAGCAAAGATCAAGCTTCCTACTTACTAAATACAGTAACACAACAAAGATTTCCCTTTTAAAAAGAGGAAATGGAGACATAGAAAGGAGAGATGGGGCCTTGATGGTGGCACACACCTTTACTCCCAGCACTTGGCAGGTGGATGCCTGTGAGTTTTAGGCCAGCCGAGGCTATTTAGTGAGACTCTCTCAGGGAGGAGGGATAGACGGAGGGGAAGAGAAAGAAGGAGGGGGGAGGGAAGGAGAGAGAGACAGAGAGACACCAAGGTATGACTGAAACTCAGACGGGCAAACATTAAGTCCTGTAGCTCTGTGTTCTGCATCTGAATATGTGATGGCATGAAGTTATAGTAGCCTTGATCAGGGCTCTGTGGAGACACACTAGGGAAGATATTTCTCTGGCATGGGTGAAGATGTAATATTTCAATTTATCCCAAACACAGAATCCAGATATGTAGTTGTGTTAGTCAATCACCTGTACATAGGACCAGGTTTGTTTGCCTTAAGTCACGCCAAAAAGATAAGAGGAATAATTATACCTTTAATAAGCTAAAGGTATAATTTTGCTTCTACCCTTCCCCTCCTGAATTCCTAACCCATTGGGCAGCCAGTACAGAAACTTCAGGACTCAGAAATGCATAACTTTCCATTTTCTTTTCTCTGTCTCTCTTCTAAGGTGCTTTCCCTAATATTTTGGGCTTCACTTTCTCTCTAAAGCTCCCCTGTTCCATCATGTGGGTGATTGTTTGTCATTGTGGCTGAGCCCCATGCCTAACATGTCAAATAGCATGGCTTTTCTTTCTTCCTTTTCTTTATCTTCCTCCTCTGGGCAGCTGGTGAGGGTCAGAGCTGACCTGATGTTGGGACCTAATGGAATCCTGGCCTTCCTACTCACTTCCCTTGTTGGTGACGTTTCTTGCCCTTGTTGTTCTGGGTTTCTGAGAAACTTGCAAGTTCTGTGCTCTCAGAGTTGTTTACCAACCCTGCTTCCTGAGGCCCTAACCCAAGGATCCAGGTGATGAGGTCTCCAACCTATTGGCTCACCTGTCTGGGTTAGGTATAACCCCCCCGCTGGTGATGTACAATAAAGGCTTCAGATTCTGCAACATCCAAAGTGCGTGTTCCATTAATCCTGATGTCCTTTGCTTCGATTTGGCTCTAGCTGCGCTGGTGCAGCAACCGCTGTTGGGTCCAGGGGGATCGTGCAAAGATGGGGACAGACCACCAAAGTCTGATAAACCAGAAGCAAACTTTATTCCAGAAACCAGATTCCAGGGAAACCAGAAATAAACTTAAAAATAAAAAAAATAATAATAAAAACACCACGGGCACAGAAGCTTATCAGCTAAAAGGCTAGTTTCTGAACCCCCCTTTTATAGTTAGGGCACCAAGCATTAAGTCTGAACAAAGGAATTTTTACAATGTTACCCTAACCCATAGGTTAGTCAACGTAGACCCTAAGGAGGGGAGTGAGTTCTAATGTCAATGGGTAACTAGGCAGCTATCATGAAATATGTTTCAGAGTAGATTACAGTGAAAGTCACTAATTGCAAGAAAACAGGTGTCTTTAGCAATTAGTCAGAAAAGGGACTGCTAGTAACACCAGAAGGTTAATAAATTAGAATTAATTGGTTCTTAGCTGGGAACTTAGAAGACAGAAGAAAGTTTTTCACACTATCTCAAGGTAAAACTCAGATACAGACTGCCATACTTTACAACCTCCACTATCAGAGCTCATTAGTTAGATGGTGTTTGTACTTGTCCACTGTCTGTCCTGGTACCTCCAGGCAGTGTATACTGGAGCCCCATACCTCCCCTTTGGATGGTACCAGTTTCCCGTAGCAAGAGACAGTGCCTAACCCAGAGGTCACGTATCTTTGTCTCCTAAAGGTTAACTCAGTTCATACCTGTTGTTTATCAAGAATGGCCAGGACACTACTCTCAGTTTGCAGAGTTCAAGGCTAGCATGTGTTACATTGTGAGACTCTGTCTCAAAAAAGTTTAAGGGCTAACTTCGCCACATCATTTTTTTGGATCTTTTCCATTTCCATGCATATATGTCTGTGTTGTGTGTGTGTAGGGGTGCACATGTGTGTAGGTGTGCATAGATGGAGAACTAGATGTTGGGAATCTTTCTGGGTTGTTCCCTGGATTGCTTGTCATTTCTATTCATTGAGATGGGCTCTCTCAATCAAGCCCAGAGTTCACTGGTACGGCAAGTCTTACCTAGCCAGCTTGCTCTGGAAATCTCCTCCCTGCATTTACTTGGGATCTGAATTCAGGCCCTCATGCTTGCATGGCAATACCTGTGGAGGCATCTCTTCTTTGCATCCTTATTGAGACTCCTTTGAAGTTAAAAAACAGTTTTCTTACTGGTTCTAAAAGGGTATCTCTGTCAGGTAGCTATTTCTTCTGAATTAAAGCATTCTCTTCTGTGTACAGAGTGAGGATCATAAAAATCAGGAAACTAATTTAAAAACTGTGGGAAGGCCTATACCTGTGTCTCAAGAAGTTCAGAAAGTTCTAAGATGTGTTAGACTCCTTGAAGCTGATCTAAAAAGTAAGCAGTTGGTGGGGCAACAGGAAGGCTTTAGTGGCAGTGCCTTCAGGCTGAGGAAAGTGCTCAGGGAAGGCAGCATTCATGAACTAGCACCCGTGCTTTGTCAGTGATGCAGCTGGTCAAGAGCTGCCCATGCCTCTGTGAGGAAAGGCAATAAACACACTGTTTCCAAACTGTACTTGAATGTCTTTGTTGTCATAGTGCTCTGTGTGGATAAGTAGATATATGTGTTCCCACCTCCCCAGGAAGAGTCACATGACATGAACTCACCAAGGTTTTAATTTAAATGACCTTGACCTTGCTGACGGGCAATGTTGAACACCGTCCTTTAGGTATTGAGGGCTGCTGAACTTTTTCCATGCTGGGAAACTGCTCACAACTCAGCTTCCCTCTGCTGCATGGACCCATTGCCTTGACCACAGAAACATACCACTCCATCAAGGGCTGCCTCCTGATGATGAAGAGGCGCCTTCCTGCCTGACCCTCTGCTTGGTGGCTTGAGGCAAGAGGACTAGCCCTGGGCCTGGTGAGGCTTTGGGGACACCTATCTCCAGATGCTGCCAGTGAGGCTCATGGGAGTCATGGGCTATTTGCTTCCTGTACCCACCTGGGTCCTCTCTACAAAACAGTACACTGAGCACCATGGGAGCAACTTCTCCTGGGTTTGAAAGTCCCTCAAGGGACATTTAGACTCATTGTCGTTCTTCTGTAGTCTACAGATGCTGGCCAGAACTGTGACTTTGGATGCAGAGAGGCTAGGAAGCCTCAGGAGATGGTAATGAAACTTTCAATGGTGTAGGATTTAGTGCCACCCACCTCCACCACCTCTCATCAGTATTCTCTCCACAGCCTGCGGGCCTAGAGTTCCCAGTGTGATCTTAGCCTCAGGTCCTTGAGCTAGAGCATTTTCCCAGATAAAATCCCCCTGCACTGCAAGTCACTGCCCCATATGGGGCTGTCCTGTCTGGTACCCAGCAGGCATGTGGCTGTGTATTCTCTTTCCTGTTCTCTTTGTCTGTGTTTCTGTGTCTGCTCTTTCTGGACCAAGAGCCTGGCTTTTGCCGAGGCAGAGGCATCACTTTGACCGTCCTGGAGATATAATAGTGGGGGGCAGCTTCTCCATTCTTCACTTTTCTAATGGTACCTTGTCTGACTTCACTGCCCCACCATCTGGACTGCTGGCTTCAGAGTAAGTGCTGGATGTGGAATGGGAGTCTCTGAAACCCAGAAGCAGCCTTACAAGGTTGTGTGAGCCTTGGATAGGGGTTGATTCTCAGAGTCCCAGCTACGTGGCCACCTCTGTGTATTCATGCAGTAGCTCTGTTGCTCTTCTTTTACATGACCTCTGTCTGTCTGTCCTTGTTGTTTGTATTGGTCTGAACTATGGGTGCTCTTGTACTGGGTGTAATGTTTGCCTTCCACAGGCCAGGTGGGGCTTCTTGATTCTTCTGTATATCCTTGGTTCTTAAAATAGTGTCTAGGTAGATGTGTTTGTTGAATGAATTCATATGTAAATAATAGATTTTTATTCATTTATCAGCCCTGTGATTCCTCTCTACTGTATTTCTTTTTTTTGCAGCAGGGTTTTTCTGTGTAGCCCTGACTGTCTTGGAATTCTCTCTGTAGACATGACTGACCTCCAACTCAGAGATCCACCGCCTCTACCACTGGAGTACTGGGAGTAAAGGTATGCACCACTGTCGCCAGCTACTGTATTCCTTTGGCTTGTAATTTTTTCCAGGCATCTCATGTAGCCTCCAGTTTACTCGGTAGCCAAATATCACCATGAATTTCTGATCCTTTTGCCTCCACCTCCTGGGTGCTGGAATGATAGGAAAGTGCCCCAAACTCAGTTTATGAGGTGCTGCAGGCCACACTTATGAACTGAGCCATAAACACAAACCCCCTTTGCCCATTCTTGTCCTAGCCTTTCTAATGTACTGTTCCACACAGTAGTTCCAATAGCCTTTTTGGATCTTATTTTTTAAAAAAATGTTTGTATTTAGCTTTATTTTTTAAATTGGATGAGCATAAGTCATATGACTGTACTCCTAGCACGCAGGAAACTGATAGTTTCAGTCAAGATTAGGCTACAGAAAGAGATTTGAGTCAAAACAATTAAGAGTTTTTTCTAAGGTAACTACAATCATTTTATCCTCGGCCACAAATGCAAGAGGTTTTCATTACTGCATTTTCACATTTACTGTCACTTTAAGTGGGTAGTTTTTAGAGACAGTATTTCACTTTGTGCTCCGACTAGCCTGGAACTTCTTGTGTAGGTCAGGTTAGCCCCAAACCTGGGACTACATGCATGAGCCACCATACTGGCCGCACTGGCTTGTTCTTGAGATTTCTTTTCTTTTTTCTTTTTGAGAGAGCATCTTACTGTGTAGATGAGGCTAGCCTAGAAGTCACTATTTTCCTGCCTCCACAACGTAAGTGCTAGGATAGGTGGAAACTGCTTAATAATCACACAGAAACTGTATTAATTACAACACTGCTTGGCCAATCATTTAAGCATATTGCTAGCTAGCTCTTATATCTTAAATTAACCTATTCCTATTATTTTATATTTTACCACGAGGCTCATGGTTTACTAATAAGATTCCCAGGCATCTGTTTCCTTGGGTGGCTACATGGCATCTCCCTTACTCTGCCTTCTTTTTCCTTCTATCTGCTTGGAATTCCCACCTTGCCCTATTCTGTGCTACCATATGCCCCAAACAGATTGTTTATTAGTCAATGGTAATAAAACATACTTACAGCATACAGAGGGGAATCCCACATCAGGATCCCATATTATTTTTTAAGTCAATGAGTAACAATTGTATGTATGAATTGGGTACAAAGCTGAATTTTAATAAGTGTATTAAAGAATGGTTAATTAAGCTTGCCAACAAATTGATCATTTTGCATACTTATTTTTTGGTGATGTGAAGTTTAAAATCTACCATGGGAGGCAGAGAGAGGAGAATCTGAAAGTTAAGGTCTTAGGGTCTGAGGAAATGTCTGAGTTGGTGAAGTGTCTGCTGTGCATGCATGAAGATCCAAGTTTGATTCCTAGAACCCATGTGAAAGCCTGGCATGTTGAGCATCTGTAACCCTGGTTAGGAACAGAGAGACAGGCAGATCCCTAAAGGTCACTGGCCACTGAATCTATCTGAATGGATGAGGGTCCAGGTTCAGTTAGATAATCTGTCTCAAAAAATAAGGTGAAGAGGGGCCAGTGAGTTGCCTTATGGAAAAAGTGCTTGGCATGTAAGCCTGATGGATGACCTGGCCCTGCCTGGAACCCACATAAAGGTGGAAGGAGAGAATTGACTCACAAAGTTGTTTCCCGACCTCTATGTATTGTAGCATGTGTGGGTATACAGACACACCACATACATACATGAACACACAACTTGTACAGGCCCAGTGCAGATATCTGGAGCTGCCATGAGATCATGTCTGCAGTGTCTGAACTATTTCTTGAACCAGCATTTCATATTTCTTCTCCCCGACTTCTGGCCCTTCTTTCAACAATTCTGAAGTAGATGTTAGTTACTATTAATTCTAACCAAGTGTACTATGCAATAGATTTTTTTCTTTGTTTACATGAGACATGGTCTCTCTATGTAGTGCCTGATACCTGGATCTAGCTCTATAATCCATGCTGATCTCCACTTCACAAAGATCCATCTGCTCTACCTCCAGAGAGCTATTAAACTATTAAACAAGTGTGCCACCACACCCAGCTAATTCAATAGATCTTCAGTTATCCATTCTGTCTTCTGAAACTGTCCCCTCTGATTACTGGCACCACATTCCCTCTGGCTCCCCTTTGAGTATCCTGAACTGTGCTCCTCTGCACATCTATGTAGAAATACTTGTGGAGATGTTGTTCTACCTGTATCTCTCGAGTCCCTGTGTTTATTCGTGTTCAGTTTACCCCATCATGAGGGATAAATGTGGGCTTCTCTTTCCCTCAGCGTTTCCAAGTGGGGCTACTGCGTGGCCCAGAGTTTCATCTTTGCTATCAAGGAGATTAATAGGAGTGCTCACTTGTTGCCCAATTTGACTCTGGGCTTCTCCATTCGAAACTCTGGGGACTCAGTGCATGGAGCCCTCCATGAGACAATGAGCTTTCTCTCAAGGCAGGAGGAGCCCATCCCCAACTATACCTGCCAGCATGGCTCTCCTCAGGCTGCTCTGGTTGGGGACACACGGTCATCCCTGTCTGTCTCCATGGCCAGACTTCTGGGGCTGTACAAGTTTCCCCAGGTGAGTTACTCAAGCCTTCTTCCTTCATGAATGTAGTGCAGTCCCTTAATGATGATAGAGAAACTGATGGTGATGGCCACAGGCATGAGCAGCTCTGCTGTGGAGCCAGGGTCCCTGCAAGTATTCTCCATGTCCAACATGGTTCCCCTTTATATACAGATAAAGATAGTTTAGAGAGAACTAGCATCCCTCTGCATTGAGGAGGTAACTGAGAATTTATTTTATTAAAAATATATTTTAATGATTTTTTTTGTGGTTTGAAAGAAAATGCTCCCAAATGGAGTGGCATTATTAAAAAATGTGGCCTTGTTGGAGGAAATTTGTCACTGTAGAAATGGGCTTTGATGTCTTCTATGGTTGAGTTACTCCCAGTGTGGACAGTGGACTTCCTGTTTCACTCAGGTCAAGATGTAGACTTCTCAGCTCCTATTCCAGAAACATGTATGTATGCCTACATTCTGTCATGTCCTGGCATGATGATAATGGACTAAACCTGTGTAACTGTAAGCTACCCAATTAAATATTTTCCTTTCTGAGAGTTGCTGTGGTCATGGTGTCTCTTCACAGCAAGAGAAACTCTAAGACAAAGATTTACTTATTTTTTTATGAGTATGAGTATTTTGCCTTCATGTATAAAAATATGTGTGCCCGGTGCCCATGGAAGTCAGAAGAGGGCCTTGGATTCCCTAGAACTGGAGTTATAGATTGTTTGTAGCTGCCATGAGTGTGCTGGGAATTGAACCCAGGTCCTCTGAAAGAGTAGCAACACTGTTAACCACTGCCATCTCTCCAGCCCCTTAATACTATCATTATTTGTGTGTGTGTGTGTGTGCGCGCGTGTGTGTGTGCACTCAACACCAGTGCCATGGTGCCTATGTGGAAGTCCAAGACAACTTTTGGGTGTCAGTTCTTTTCTTCTACCATGTAGGTTCTGGGGATTAAACTTAGGTTTCCAGGCTTGGAGGCAAACACCTTTACCTGTGGAGGCATCTTTTCAGCTCTTTCTCTCTCTTTCTCTCTCTCTCTCTCTACCCCAAAGAACAAAAACAAACAAATGACCCAACCCCCCCCCCAAACAACTTATCAATAAGCTGCCATCTGCTGCCATGTGTACACCACCCCATGGGTTGTATTTTCCCAACCGTGAGCCTAAATCAATTCTTCCTCGCTAAAGTCGCTTCTTGTCACGTGTTTCTCCCACACCAGTGAGCAGTCACTACGACGGCTGCTGCCTCTTTGGGGCTCTCATGCATAGTGCTTCTATGAATATTTGAGTAAAGGGTTTTTTATGTTCCTATACTTTCGATTATTTTAGCAATGTAGATAAGATTGCTGGATCAATTGACAACTCTGCTGAACCATTTATTCAATCACTAAGATGCTTATTAGACTTTCCTTGCTGTGACAGACATGCCTGAGAGAAACTGCTTAAGAGAAGAAAGATTTCTTTTGGTTGAATTTCTGCAGTTTCACACCCGGGTCATCAGATGTCTCTGTTTCTGTGCCTGTGCTAACACAGAGCTTCATGGCAGAAATGTGCGGAGGGACAGACACTTCAGTGGTCAGGAGGAGAGAGACAGAGTCACCAGGGCACAGCTCCAGAGATCTGATTCCTCCAACCTACTTTCCATGGGGTCTATAAAATGCCACCACTATGACTCCACTTGATCAGATCAGAGCTCATCTTCTGGAAACCAAGTGGACGTGTAGACTTTCTGGTAGCATCTTATATTCAAACCATAATCGTCCCTGCAGGCACTGGGATGTGGCTCTGTTTCTAGAGCACTTGCCTAGCAAACCCAAGGCCCTCGGTCTAAACTCTAGTGCTGTTGTAATACAGCAGACAGGAGGTGGAGACAGGAGGATTCAGTGTGCCATATTATTGTTAGCTATATAGTGAGATTGGGATGAGGTTTTGCTAGTTGAGACCCTTTCTCAAGTATCTATCTATCTATCTATCTATCTATCTATCTATCTATCTATACAATGTGTATGTTAACGTAAAGTGTGAATGAATATTTTCTTTCAATTTGAATTCTCTAAATTTAAGTAAATTCCAGTCTCTTTGTATGTCTGACATTTGTTAATTTTTTTCTGCCAGATGGGTTTTCCCCTGTCCTATGAAGATGCAAAAATGCACAGCCAGGGTTGTTCTGGTTTTTCTAAGCAATGCAAATTTCCAGCTTTTTCTGTATAGGTTACTGGGTGTTCCTGTTTCAGGCCAGGTCTGGGTCAGCAAGGACACTATGCACATGTCACTTGCCCTGTCTATTCCAGGTATTGCACGGCACATTTGGCCTTCTGTATCACAGCAGCAGTGCTACTGGTTTCCCAGGATTCCTTGCTAACTTATGCCCCAGCCAGACCCCAGAATACAAGTTTATAAAGAAGTTTTGGGGGTTCACCTTTGATTGCACATGGCCCCACCAGAGCAGCACAGTGACAGAGGATGTCTAGCTGTGCTCAGGGAATGAGAGTCTGGTAAACCAGCAGTATTCTTTCCCAGAAGTGAGTAAAATTGATGCAGCTTACACAGCTGTCTACAGCATTGCCCATGCCCTGCACGACGTGATAACCAGTGGACAGCAGGATGGGAAAAGTACAGATTCCCAGGACTTCCAGCCCTGGCAGGTCAGAGAGACGTGTGCAGTGGGTGACTGTGGATGGTTGGGGAAGAGGACATTGGCTCTGACAAGGCTGTAGAAAAGCTGACTATATGCTTCAGCAAGGATGTCACATGCTTACCACTGAGAGGCATCTTAGAAGGAACAGTGGCCAAGGAATCCGTGCTGTGTGTGGGATCCCAGAAGAGTCCAGTCCCTCGGGGTTGCTTGCCTTAGCAAATACAGGATACCTAGTAAAATTAATATTTCAGATAACAGTAAATAGATTTTTAGTGGATGGCTTTTAGCATAGACATGCTGCAAATCAGGGTTTCAAACATTATCAAATGCCATTTTTTTATTTTTTTGGTGTATTGTACATGCATGTGGGCACATGTGGTGGGGTGTGCACTCATGTGTATGTACATACATGTAGAAAGGTCTGAGGATGATGAGAAATAACTTTTCAATCACTCTTTTATTCTTTGGGGTAGGATCTGTCACTCAACCGCAGAACTTATTGATGTGACTAGTCTTGCTAGCCAGATTGTTCTGGGAATCTCCTGTCTCCACTTTCTGAGATTGTAATTAGAATTGGCTGCCACATCCACCTGACATTTATGTGGGTTTTGTGAATTCTCAAGCTTTTATGACCAGTGCTTTAATTACTGGGCCATCTTCTAATCCCTTACTTATTTTTCTTTTTAAAGTATTATTTGATAATTCATACATGTATATAATGCATTTTTGTCATTTTTCCCCAGTCATTTCTTTGTCTGTGTGCCTGCCTATCTATCTATCTATCTATCTATCTATCTATCTATCTATCTATCTATCTATCATATATTTATCTCTCTATCATATATTTATCTATCTATCATCTATCTATCTATCTATCATCTATCTATCTATCTATCTATCTATCTATCTATCTATCTATCTGTCAGTTATCTATCTATCTATCTATCATCTATCTATCTCTCTATCAATCATCTCTCTATCTATTATCTATCTATCTATCTATCTATCTATCTATCTATCTATCTATCTATCTATCGTCTATCTATCTATCTATCTATCTATCTTCTCAAATCCATTCAAAATAGCATAGGCCAAGATCTGTAAGGGGGCCCTCTGAAAACAGGTTATTCCATGGTGAGGTAACTGGTGAGAGTGGTGGACAAGGAATGGGTGTATTTTCATCACCTTCACTCAAACGACCTGAGTCTGTACTGTGTGCCTGTGAAGGTATATATGGTTGTAATCAGATAGACACTAATAAATGGCTTTTTGTTTGAGGGTGACAGATTAAAAAATATAGGAGACTAGACTTTGTTGGCCATGCCTATCAAATGGACAGGTTGTAGCTATATAATCCTTAATATATATTAAGGCCAACCTGGATACAAAAGAAGATCTTGTCACAAGATTAAAATGTGGGTGTCAAAATGTCTGTGTGTTCTTAATGAAGATGTAAAGTAGATGAATGAGTAAGGAGTGAGTGAAGGGAAGTGAAAGCCTGGAACATTCTCAGACAAGAGAATGAGAAATGTCATCATGGGAAGAAGGGATAGCATTGCGGGTGGCAGGGACAGCATGTCAGGACCCTAGAATGGAGACAAACAGAAGAGCCACATGGGTGGACTGATGGATTGTGGAAGACTGGTTAGAGTCACTGGACAGTCTAGGTGGGCTGGGGCCAGGCTCCTGAGTGTGAAGGGAAGACAGAGGACAATAGTGTACAACCAAATGAGATCCTAGAGCTGGAACTACATTGTCATGTTTTTGGGTTTAATTTTAAGGCTGCTGAGATGGCTCAATGGGTTAAAGATTTGTCCCCAAGCATAAGTTGGATTCCTGAGTCCCATATGGCAGCAGAAGGAGAGAACATTCCTGGGGGTTGTTCTCTAATTCCACAATATGAGTGATCCACACACACACGCACATGCACACAGTGTACTATGTTAAAATGATCTGTATTAATTATTATGAATTATTACTTTTTTAAAGCTAGAACATGTTTGTTAGGCTGAAAATATCATAGATACTTGATATCCCTTATGCCTAATGGGTCCAGTCCTCAATTGAAGTGGCACTCAGTCACTTCAGAGGCCATTGGCATGTGGTAATTTGGATAAAACCCCTGATTTGTCCTGGCCAGTCTACAGTGTCTCCCTTCTTTCCTCAGCTGCTTTGTGCCCTCAGGAAGGTACACTTTAAGACTCCTGATGGAAGCAAGATTATGTTTGATGACAATGGAGACTTGGTGACAAAATTTGAGATTTTCCAGGGACAGAAGACTCTCGAGGGTGTTTTTCATTTGGTCCATGTAGGCATGATAGACCCTCAAGTCTCTTCAGGGAACAAAATGATGGTCCATTTGATGCAGGATCTCCAAGTGAGTTGCCTGAATGCAGAGAGGAGTCTTGTCTTGAGTGTGTTAAAGTCACAGGGAAAATTCTACTTGTGCATAAGGTGGATGTAGCCTAGATGGGGCCAGTCAAATATAACTGGCTATGTTGTTTACCTCATTAGAAATCTTTCTCTGAATGATATTGATTCACGAGCAAAAAGGAAAATATAAAAGATGGGGTTGGGAGATGGCTCAGTGGTCAAAGTGTTTTATGCAAGTTCAAGAACCAGACTTTGGATGTCCAGAACACTTGTACATGCTGAGTGGGCAGTGGGTCTCACCTGTAATTTCATCTCTGGAGGATGGAAACAAGGAGATGCCCACAGAAACCTGATGAGTAAGACTAGCCGTATCAGTGAACTCTGGGTTTTCCTTTGAGCCTCTGCCTCAATGAACATAGTGGAAAAGCAATTGAGGATGATTTCCAGCATTAACCTTGGGCCTCCACATGTGCTTGTCCATACGTGAACATGAGTCCACATAGATGTACAAATGTATGTATACATATTTACACCACTGACACATATGAAAATGTAGGAAAAAAAGAACACACCAGACTCACAAATAGAATGAGAATTTGTAGTTGATGCTCACTTGGGAGTATTTTCAGTGTCTGTGTTCAGGACCTGCTCTGAGAAGAGGAAGATAGTGACACACTAAGTTAATACCTTCCCATGGACCACATGGAACGTGGTCTCAACAGATTCACTTTACTTACTGTGTTAGTTTATTTCACCCACCATGACAAATACTTGAGAAAGAGTTTGAAGTGAAGAAGAGTTTTTATTGTCTCAAGACTTGAGAGGTCCAAGTTCAGATGAATCCATTGCTTTGAGTGTGTGTGGTTGAGGCAGTGTGCCATACATGGCAGCAGGCATGTATGGTGGAAGAGGTTGCTCATTTCGTGGCTTCCAGCATTTGAGGAGGTGGGGAAGTAGATAGGTTAACAATTTACATCTTACCAGTGCATACTCGTAGTGACCCACTTTGGTCATCTAGGTCCCACTTCTCATTTCCACAATCTATAATAATTCTTCAAGTTATGAGTTCATTGAAATAAGTAATACACTGATAGTGACACACTAAGTTAAATACCTTCCCATGGACCACGTGGAACGTGGTCTCAACAGATTCACTTTACTTACTGTGTTAGTTTATTTCACCCACCATGACAAATACTTGAGAAAGAGTTTGAAGTGAAGAAGAGTTTTTATTGTCTCATGACTTGAGAGGTCCAAGTTCAGATGAATCTATTGCTTTGAGTGGATATTGAGGCCAGATGAATCCATTGCTTTGAGTGGATATTGAGGCCAGAGGCATCAATATCCAATCATTTTTCAAAAAGTTACTATTTTGGTGCACGACCCAGCACCCCTCCCCAACCCTGCCCCGCTGTATGCTAGGACCAGTGCTCAACTACAGTCTTAAGCTCCTAAACTAAGGCGACCCACCCAGATCGGTGAGTGCCTGCCAGCCGGGCAGGCCTCAGGGTCCCCTGTAAGGGAGCCGGGCACCTTCAGCTCCGGCACCAGGCTTCCTGCGCGCTCCTGGATACCACCCCCCCCCCCCCCCCCCCCCCCCCCCCCCCCCCCCCCGCTCCATTCATCCTGTTGGCCCTGGATCATTGGGCTACCGGCGGCCCTGTTTAGTTGCTGAGGAATCCCATCAGGACCGGTGAGTGTGTGCTACCCAGGGGCGGGCGGACTGTCCCGGAAGAGAGCACAAACCCCCTCCCCCAGCTCCTTCTGCAGGGCTGTCTTTCTTTCGCACGACCCAGCACCCCCAGCACCCCTCCCCAACCCTGCCCCGCTGTATGCTAGGTCCAGTGCTCAACTACAGTCTTAAGCTCCTAAACTAAGGCGACCCACCCAGAGCGGTGAGTGCCTGCCAGCCGGGCAGGCCTCAGGGTCCCCTGTAAGGGAGCCGGGCACCTTCAGCTCCGGCACCAGGCTTCCTGCGCGCTCCTGGCGGCCCTGTTTAGTTGCTGAGGAATCCCATCAGGACGGTTGCGGAGGAATCCCATCTGGACGGGAACGGTTCCTGCTTCTACACTGAAGAGATATACCCTGAGAGTCAATCACAGCAAAGTCTGGACCAAGAGACCAGGCCTCTCCTGGCTCCATTTGAAGGAAGAGATGGGAAGGCGCCAATACAAGAATTCCTCCAACAATCTGAAAGGCAACATGACACCACCAGAAACCAGGGATCCCGAAATAAGAAGAATTGTACACCCTACTCCTGAAGAAATAGAAGAAATTGACTCAAAAGTGAACTATATGAAAATAATAGAGGACCTTAAACAGGAGGTGAAAAACTGCCATAAACAATTAGAGATTACAAACAAAAAGGTAGAGGAAATGAATAAATCGCTCAAAGACACGCAAGAAAACCAAGAGAAACAAGAAAAAGCAATCAAACAGGTTAGGGAAGCGGTTCAAGACATGAAGAATGAAATGGAAGCAATGAAGAAAGCACAAACCGAGGGAAGAATGGAGATGGAAAATCTGGGTAAACGAACAGGAATGACAGAAACAAGTACTAACAACAGATTACAAGAGATAGAAGAGAGACTATCAGACACTGAAGATACCATAGAGAAAATAAACACACTGATCAAAGAAAACAGCAAAACCAACAAATTCTCATTACAAAACATTCAGGAAATTTGGGACACAATAAAAAGACCAAACCTAAGAATAATTGGAGTAGAAGAAGGAGAAGAAGTGCAGCTCAACGGTACAGAAAATATACTTAATAAAATTATAGAAGAAAACTTTCCCAACCTGAAGAAAGAGGTACCTATGAAGGTTCAAGAAGCATACAGAATACCAAATAGGCTGGATCAAAAAAAAAAAAAAAACATCCCCTCGCCATATAATAATCAAAACACAAAATACACAGAATAAAGAAAGAATATTAAGAGCCGCAAAGGAAAAAGGCCAAGTTACTTATAAAGGTAAACCTATCAGACTTACACCTGACTTCTCTATGGAAACCATGAAAGCCAGAAGGTCCTGGATAGATGTACTGCAAAAACTAAGAGATCATGGATGCAAGCCCAGACTACTATATCCAGCCAAGCTTTCGTTCACTATAAATAGAGAAAACAAAATTTTCCAGGATAAAAACAAATTCAAACAATACGTAGCCACAAATCCAGCCTTACAGAAAATTATAGAAGGAAAATCACTAACCAAGGAGTCCAACAATGCCCACAATAACTCAGTCATCTAGAGACCTTTCACCAGCGCAACTCAAAGAAGGGAAACACACAAACCCTACTACTAAAAAAGTGACCGGAATTAACAACCACTGGTCATTAATATCACTTAATGTCAATGGGCTCGACTCACCTATAAAAAGGCACAGGCTAAGGGATTGGATACGAAAACAGGATCCAACGTTCTGCTGTCTACAAGAAACACACCTCAACCACAAAGACAGGCACCTACTCAGAGTAAAGGGCTGGGAAAAGGCTTATCAAGCAAATGGTCCTAAGAAACAAGCAGGTGTGGCCATACTAATTTCTAACAAAGTTGACTTCAAACTTAAATCAATCAGAAGAGATGGAGAGGGACATTTTATACTCATAACAGGAACAATTCATCAGGATGAAGTCTCAATCCTGAATATCTATGCCCCGAATATAAAAGCGCCCACGTATGTAAAAGAAACATTACTAAAACTCAAGGCAGACATCAAACCACACACACTAATAGTAGGAGACTTCAACACTCCTCTCTCACCAATGGACAGGTCAATCAAACAGAAACCTAACAGAGAAATTAGAGAATTAATGGAGGTAATGAAGCAAATGGACTTAACAGACATCTATAGATTATTCCACCCGAAGAGGAAAGAATATACCTTCTTCTCTGCAGCTCATGGAACCTTCTCGAAAATTGACCACATACTCGGTAACAAAGCTAACTTACACAGTTACAAAAAAATATTAGTAACCACCTGTGTCTTATCAGATCACCATGGATTAAAGTTAGAATTCAACAACAATGCTACCCCCAGAAAGCCTACAAACTCATGGAAAATGAACAGTCAACTTCTGAACCATACCTGGATTAAGGAAGAAATAAAGAAAGAAATTAAAGTCTTCCTTGAATTCAATGAAAATAAAGAAACAACATACTCGAACTTATGGGACACTATGAAAGCAGTCCTAAGAGGAAAGTTCATCGCACTAAGTGCCCACTTAAAGAAAACAGAGAAAGCACATATTGAAGACTTAACAGCCCACCTGAAAGCTCTAGAAAAAAAAGAAGCAGACTCACCTAGGAGGAGTAGAAGATTGGAAATAATCAAACTGAGGGCTGAAATCAACAAAATAGAAACACAGAAAACAATCCAAAGAATCAATGAAACAAAAAGCTGGTTCCTGGAGAAAATCAACAAGATTGATAAACCCCTATCTAAACTAATCAAACGGCAGAGAGAGAATACGCAAATTAATAAGATCAGAAATGAAAAGGGGGACATAACCACAGACACAGAGGAAATTCAGAGAATCATCAGATCATATTACAAAAGCCTGTATAACACAAAACTGGAAAATGTAAAAGAAATGGACACTTTTTTAGATAAATACCATATACCAAAGTTACACCAGGACCAGGAGAACAATCTAAACAGACCTGTTGGTCGCGAAGAATTAGAAGCTGTTATCAAAAACCTCCCTACCAAAAAAAGCCCAGGACCAGATGGTTTCAATGCGGAATTCTACCAGAACTTCCAGGAAGAGCTAATACCCATACTCCTTAATGTATTCCACAATATAGAAACAGAAGGGTCATTACCTAATTCCTTTTATGAAGCTACAGTTACTCTGATACCAAAACCACACAAAGACTCAACCAGGAAAGAGAATTACAGACCAATCTCACTCATGAACATCGACGCAAAAATCCTCAACAAAATACTGGCAAACCGAATCCAAGAACATATTAGGAAAATTATCCATTATGATCAAGTAGGCTTCATTCCTGAGATGCAGGGCTGGTTCAACATACGAAAATCTATCAATGTAATCCAGCATATAAATAAACTGAAGGAAAATAACCATATGATCATCTCATTAGATGCTGAAAAAGCATTTGACAAAATTCAACATCCATTTATGTTAAAAGTCTTGGAGAAATTAGGGATACAAGGGTCATACCTAAATATAATAAAAGCTATATATAGCAAGCCGACAGCTAACATCAAATTAAACGGAGAGAAACTCAAAGCCATCCCACTTAACTCAGGAACACGATACGGATGTCCACTCTCTCCATACCTCTTCAATATAGTACTTGAAGTTCTAGCAATAGCAATAAGACAACATAGTGGGATCAAGGGGATTCGAATTGGAAAGGAAGAAGTTAAACTTTCGTTATTCGCAGATGATATGATAGTGTACTTAAGCGACCCCCAAAACTCCACCAAAGAACTTTTACAGCTGATAAACAGCTTTAGTAATGTGGCAGGATACAAGATCAACTCCAAAAAATCAGTCGCCCTCTTATACACAAAGGATAGGGAAGCAGAGAGGGAAATCAGAGAAGCTTCACCATTCACGATAGCCACAAACAGCATAAAATATCTTGGGGTAAATCAAACCAAGGAAGTGAAAGATCTATTTGACAAGAACTTTAAGGCATTGAAGAAAGAAATTGAAGAGGATACCAAAAAATGGATGGATCTACCTTGCTCTTGGATTGGGAGGATCAACATAGTAAAAATGGCAATTCTACCTAAGGCAATTTATAGATTCAATGCAATCCCCATCAAGATCCCATCAAAATTCTTCACAGATCTGGAGAGGACAATAATCAATTTTATATGGAAAAACAAAAAACCCAGGATAGCCAAAACAATCCTATACAATAAAGGATCTTCTGGAGGCATTACCATCCCTGACTTCAAACTCTATTACAGAGCTACAGTAATGAAAACAGTGTGGTACTGGCATAAAAACAGAGAAGTCGACCAATGGAATCGTATAGAAGACCCGGATTTTAACCCACAAACCTATGAACACCTCATTTTTGATAAAGGAGCTAAAAGTATACAATGGAAGAAAGAAAGCATCTTCAACAAATGGTGCTGGCACAACTGGATGTCAACCTGTAGAAGAATGAAAATAGACCCACATCTTTCACCGTGCACAAAACTCAAGTCCAAATGGATTAAAGACCTCAATATCAGCCCGAACACACTGAAAAGGATAGAAGAGAAAGTGGGAAATACCCTACATCAGATGGGCACAGGAGATCGCTTCCTATGTATAACCCCAGAAGCACAGACATTAAGAGCAACATTGAATAAATGGGACCTATTAAAACTAAGAAGCTTCTGCAAAGCAAAGGACACTGTCACTAAGACACAAAGGCAACCTACTGACTGGGAGAAGATCTTCACCAACCCCGCAACAGACAAAGGTCTGATCTCCAAAATATATAGAGAACTCAAGAAACTAGACTCTAAAATGCTAATTAACCCAATTAAAAAATGGGGCACTGATCTGAACAGAGAATTCTCAACAGAAGAAGTTCAAATGGCCAAAAGACACTTAAGGTCATGCTCAACTTCCTTAGCAATCAGGGAAATGCAAATCAAAACAACTTTGAGATATCATCTTACACCTGTGAGAATGGCTAAAGTCAAAAACACCAACGATAACCTTTGCTGGAGAGGTTGTGGAGGAAGGGGTACCCTCATCCATTTCTGGTGGGAATGCAATCTTGTGCAACCACTATGGAAGTCAGTGTTTCGGTTTCTTAGGAAATTCGGGATCAACCTACCCCTGGACCCAGCAATACCACTCTTGGGAATATACCCAAGAAATGCCCTATCATATGACAAAAGCATTTGTTCAACTATGTTCATAGCAGTATTATTTGTAATAGCCAGAACCTGGAAACAACCTAGATGCCCTTCAATGGAAGAATAGATGAGGAAAGTATGGAATATCTACACATTAGAGTACTACTCAGCGGTAAAAAACAATGACTTCTCGAATTTTGCATGCAAATGGATGGAAATAGAAAACACTATCCTGAGTGAGGTATCCCAGACCCAAAAAGATGAACATGGGTTGTACTCACTCATAATTGGTTTCTAGCCATAAATAAGGGTCACGGAGTCTACAATAGGTGAATCTAAAGAAGCTAAGTAAGAAGGGGAACCCAAGGAAAAACATATAGTTATCCTCTTGGCTAAGGGAAGTAGACAAAATTGCCGGGGAGAAAATTGGGATCTTGGGGTGGGGTGGGTTGGGGGTAAGGGGAGATAGGGAGAGAAAAGTTAGAAGGGAAGGAGGTCGGGCCTTGGGAAAGCAGGAGGATTGGGATAAAGGAAGGTTGGACAGGGGAGCACGGAACCACAATTCTTAGTTAAGGGAACCACTTTAGGGTTGGCAAGAGACCTGACCCTAGAGGGGCTCCCAGGTGCCCAAGCTGAGGTCCCCAGTTAGTTCCTTGGGCAGTTGAGAATAGGGAACCTGAAATGACCCTATCCTTGAGCAATACTGACGAATATCTTGCATATCATCATAGAACCTTCATCTGGTGATGGATGGAGATAGAGACAGAGACCCACACTGGAGCACGGGACTGAGCTCCCAAAGTCCCAATGAGGAGCAGAAGGAGGGAGAACATGAGCAAAGAAGTCGGGACCACGAGGGATGCACCCACCCACTGAGACAGTGGAGCTGATCTATTGAGAGCTCACCAAGACCAGCTGGACTGTGACTGAAAAAGCATGGGATAAAACTGGACTCTCTGAACATGGCGAACTATGAGGGCTGATGAGACGCAAAGGACAATGGCACGGGGGTTTGATCCTACGTAATGTGATGGCTTTGTGGGAGCCCAGCCAGTTTGGATGTTCACCTTCCTAGATATGGACGGAGGTGGGAGGTCCTAGGTCTTACCACAGGGCAGAAAACCCTGACTGCTCTTTGGACTGGAGAGGGAGGGGGAAAGGAGTGGGGGGAGGGGGAAAAGGGTGGGAAGAGGGGGCGTAGGGGGGGAGGAGGGGGAGGGAAATGGGAGGCTGGGAGGAGGTGGAAACTTGTTTTTTTTTTTTCTCCTTTTCTCAATAAAAAAAAAAAGTTACTATTTTGGAACTCATGGTCCAACACATGAGACTTTGGGAAACATTTGAGATTCAAACCCTGACATTTATTAACAAAATTAGAAACAGTGCTGTGTTAGTTCTGTCTATGTGTGGAGTCTGGTACATAGAAATGGCTCAGCTCCCTGTCCTGTGTCAGTGAAGAAAGAGTCCTCTCCTCTGCAACTTTGTCTAACTTTGTTCTGGTGGCCTCTCCAATCAATGGTGGCCTTAAGGTTTTCCACATGAGAATGAGTTTCCCATTCTTGGATTTCTCAAGCATGAAAGAAAGACACATACTATGTGTTTCCAGGATTCCTTTGAAGAACTTTTCAATGGCCTTGATTGGGGGAGGGTTTTTTGCTGTCTTCTCATCTAGTGGGCTGAGAGGGAACTCTCCTGTTCTGGTTCTTAGGGTGAGGTTAAGCATCTGTATCCCTAAAGAGTCACCGGTGACACTATGCTCACTGTCACTAGGTGCCCACCTCTGTCTGCAGTGAAAGCTGCCTTCCAGAGTTCAGCCAAGTGCCCAGGTTGGGAGCGCCCCAAAGCTGTTTTGATTGCAGTCCCTGCCCCGAGGGACAGTTTGCAGACAAAAAAGGTAAGGGCATTTGGAGCTGGAATCTGAGGAACCAAAGGGAATTTTGAGCCTCCTGTATTTCTCCATCGTCTTAGTTACTGTCCCACTGCTCTGAAGAGACACCATGACCATGGCAGCTTCTAAAAGGAAAGCGTTTAACTGGGGGCCTACTTATAGTTTCGGGGGCTTAGTTCACGGACCATTATGGCAGGAAACATGGCATCATTCAGGCAGGCATAGTGCTGCAGCAGTAGCTGAGAGCTTACATTCTCATTCAAACACAGCAGGCAGGCAGAGAGGTGGAGAGTTGGCCTGGTATGGGATTTTGAACTTTAAAGACTACTCCCAGTGACAGCCCTCTTTCAGCAAGTCTACACCTCCCAATCCATCCCAACAGCCTGGAACTAGGAACCAAACATTCAAATCTATAAAACTGTGTCGGTCATTCTCAGCCAAACCGCCACACTTATCCACTGAGATATTGAACAGTCTTTGCTTTCTTGTGGAATACCAGTCCGAACACTGGTCTTTTCATTGTTTGTAGGGAAATGCTTCATTGCAACAGAGGAGTGCATGAACCATAATTGGACTGCATAGTGAATTCTTCTCTAGCAAACACTGCACATACTTTGGCCCCTGATCAAGAACGATGGCATATGCTACTTAAACAAACTTCAGTGGTTCTGTAATCAGAACCTGGTTTTTGCTGTGACACTGATGAATTTCTCTTGCTTTTTAAACCTCTTGTAAGAGGAATTGCATCTACATGCATCTGTGTTTGTGATGTTCATCCTAGATGTCAAATGTCAGCCAATCACCACATCCCATACTATTTGAGCTGCAGAAGTTATTCCTTTACCATTCTGAAAGCTGGAAATGGAAAACCAAGTTATCCTCAAGCTGGTGTTGTGTGAGGCCTTGCTCTTGCCCTGAAAGAGTCATTCCCTCACTGGGTGCTCTGATGTGTGTGTGTGTGTGTGTGTGTGTGTGTGTGTGTTATATACTTTTTTTTCTTTTTGGCTTGTTGTTTGGTTATAGACACTGCCTCAGCATGTAGCCCTGACTGGCTTGGAACTCACTAAGTTGACCAGTCTGCCTCTGAACTGATATAAATTTACCTGTCTGCCCCTCAAGTGCAAAGATTAGAGTCACCTGGAGACATACCAGCTCCAACTCCCCCTTCTTATTAGGTCTGCAGCCCAGTTGTAATTCGGGTCTACCCTGGGGATCACATTTAACCCTTATTACATAGTCTCCATTTTACTCATGGCAAAATATATCCCATTTTGAGGTGCTTAGGGATACGAGTTCATCAAATGAATTTTGAATTTTGGGGGCACTGCTCAGCTTAAAACATTTGTCAATATGACCAGTTACTGAGATTACTGGCAAAAAAATGAACAGTTAAGAGCTCACACAAGAGACCAGATATAGTGGCACATTCCTTTAATTTCAACACTCAAAGGGCAGAGGCAGGAAGATCTTTGTGCATTGTGGCCTTCCAGTATAGTCAGCTCAGTGATCTCCAGGTTCAGTGAGACACCCTGTCTTAAAAATTAAGGTAAAAGAGGGCTGGAAAGGTGGTTCAATAGTTAAGAACATCCACATGGTGGCGCACAACCATCTGCACTTCTATTTGTAGGTGATCTGATGCCATCTTCTGACTGCTGCAGGAACCAGGCATTCAAATAATTTCCATACATGTGAACAGAAAAAAATACTCAACAAGTAAAATAAAAGAAGTAATTACAAAAGAAGAAGCTGTGGAGACTGGTTACACGGCCCATCAGTTAAAGTATTCACTGTCAACCCTGACAGCATAAGTCAGTGTCTGGGACCCACATGGTAGAAGGGGAGCACCAAATTCATGAAAGTTGTATTGACCTCACTTGCACACCTTGGCATGCCTGAGCCCACATATGTACATACACAACCAAATATACAAACAGGTTTGACTAATAAGTAAGGTACGAAACTGGGCAGTGGTGACCCACGCCTTTAATTCCAGTACTCGGGAGGCAGAGGCAGGCGGATCTTTGTGAGTTCAAGGCCAGCCTGGTCTACAAGAGCTATTTCCAGGACAGGCTCCAAAGCTACAGAGAAACCTTTTCTTGAAAAACCAAAAAAAGTAAGGTAGGAGAAATGATTGAGAAATTATATCTGATGATAATGTCTGGTTTTTGACAAGCATATGAATGGACTTGCATGTATGCACACACAAACCTGCACACATACACACTCACATAAGCAAGGTAGAGTGGTGCAGGGCTATAGTGACAGCACTTAAAAGGTTGAGGAAGGAAGCTTAGGAGTTCATATCCACCCTCTGCCACTCAGCCTGAGTTCCATGAGAAACTGAGGACAGAAACAAAAACTCTCACAGAAAACAGACACAGAAATGCAGCTTTTTCCTTTGTGCCTCTGCCTCTAATACCACCCATCCCAGCCCTGGTCACCAAGAATAATTCATAAATCCATGACTTGATGGAAAGGCTGTAAGGGCAGGGAGTGCTTGAGGCGCCTTCCTTCCGAGCTGGTGCAGTTGGCACAGTGTTGCAGAAATGGTGTCTGTGTCTCCCGTAGACATGAAGAGATGTCTCCTGTGCCCCAAGGAACAGTACACGAGCCACACCAGAGACTGCTGCCTGCCCAGGACAGAGATCTTCCTGGCCTTTGAGGAACCTCTGGGATTCATGCTGGCTTTGGTGGCACTCTTCCTGGCTGGTCTGGCTGTCCTGGTTCTGGGAGTTTTCCTGAAGCACAGGGACAGCCCCGTGGTCAGGGCCAACAACAGAACCCTCAGCTACTTCCTGCTGATCTCCCTTTCCCTCTGTGCCCTGTGTGCCTTGCTGTTCCTTGGCCGCCCCAGTGTCCTCACGTGTCTCCTGCGCCAGACGACCTTTGCTGTGGTGTTCATGGTGGCCGTCTCCTCTGTTCTGGCCAAGACTCTCACAGTGGTCCTGGCCTTCAGGGTCACCAGGCCAGGGGCCAGGATCCAGGTGTGCCTGAGCCCTGGGGCTTCCACCTCAGTGGTCCTCATTGCTTCCTTCATGCAGGTTGTTCTTTGTGGGGTCTGGCTGGCCACCTCCCCACCATTCCCAGACAGGGATATGGTCTCGGAGCCCCAGCACATTGTCATCCAGTGCCAGGAGGGCTCTGGCACCATCTTCTTCTGTGTGCTGGGCTACTTGGGGTTCCTGGCAGGGGGTACCTTCTCTGTGGCTTTTCTGGCCCGGGGCCTGCCGGATGTCTTCAACGAGACTAAGTTCCTGGCCTTCAGCATGCTGCTCTTCTACAGTGTCTGGACAGCGTTCCTGCCCCTGTACCACAGTGCCCGGGGCAAGTCCACTGTGGCTGTAGAGATCTTCTCCATCCTGGCCTCCACAGTTGGCCTTCTGGGTGGCATCTTCATCCCCAAGTGTTACATCATCTTGCTGAGACCAGAGAGGAACACGCCTCCCTGGCTAAGGCAAGACACAAGGCACAGCAAAATAGGCAGAGTGAGATGCTCCAGAGAAGGTGTCTCCCCAGGTCTGCACCACAAGGATTCATGACCTAGTCCTTGAGGGGGGCCCATTAGGACCAACTGTGATTTTAGCTCACTGTTTCTGTGTGGATCCAAAGGTATTTAAAGGAACGATCAAGGTAAGAGTGAGACACTCAGAACAAAACACTCATGACTATTGATTTGATAGTAGACACATAGATGTTATTGTAGTAAGAAGGGAGGCCCTTGTTAGTTCCCAGCCCTTATGTCATCACACAGAAATTGTATTAATTAAATCACTGCTTGGCCCATTAGCTCTAACTTCTTATTGGCTAACGCTTACATCTTAATTTAACCCATTTCTATTAATCTGTGCATCCCAATGAGGTCGTGGCCTATCAGCAAAGTTTTAGAGCAAAGTTATCTGCAAAGTGGCAGCGGCTTCATGGCTTCCTGTGACTCTGCCCTTCTTTCTTGCAGCATTAAGTTCTGTCTTCCCTGCCTACCTAAAGTCTGCCCTATCAACAGGCCAAGGCAGTTCCTTCCTTCCTCTCTCCCTCCTTCCCTCCCTCCCTCCCTCCCTCCCTCCTTCCTTCCTTTCTTTTTTTTTTGTTTGTCAAGATGGGGTTTCTTTGTAGCTTTGGAGCCTGTCCTGGAACTAGCTCTTATAGACCAGGCATGTGCCACCACCTTCCAGCAGTTTCTTTATTTATTAACTAAGAAAAGCATCACATAGACAGAAGGATCTCCCACACCATTTCCCCTTTTCTGTTTAAATAAAAAGGAGGGCTTTAACAGTAAAATTCTAGCAAGAATTACAGTTACAATATTTATATTTACGTTATCTTTTATTGTAACTAAGGAAAACTATAACTATAACTATCTATCTATTTTTCAACTCCATCAAAAACTCCAGAAGGATATATTATTACCTAAGTAAACACGAAGGGAGGTACATTGTAAGCCATGTCCAAAACTCTAGAATTGATAGAGATATTTTACTGCCTGGACAGTCTCCCAAAATTCTTCTGTACTGCTGGGACATCCATCTTCAGTCTACAGGCCCATAGTATCCAGCAGACTTTTCCATGAAGCAGGAAATTTCAAAGACAGGTATGCCTATATTGGCAGTTTGCCAGTCACTTTCTTTTTCATCCTCATAATGTCTTGCAGACTCTTTCATGAAGCAGGGACCCCGAAGGATTAGTCTTACCTTTAGGCAAGTTCAGCAGTAATTTCTCTGTGGATCCTGCATATCCAGTTCATCTGACAGACTCCATAAGGAGCCTCTTCAATGCCCATCTTCCTCTTGAAGTACATTGGTGCTACCATGAACAGATATGTCTCACTGTCATGAAAAGTTCCAAATTTTTAAAACGTTTTAAATGCCATATTCTGAAGGTCTCTGAAAGATTTGAAGAATACCTAACTAACTGAAATATTATCTCTATACATCTAGAAATCTAACTAACATGACTACAAGCTTGCCTATTATAGATGATTATCTATTAGCCTATATTTCTTAATTATACATTACATTTTAAATGAACTACATTAAATGACTACCTTAATCAAGGGCAGAAGTATTCATGTACCCTATAACAAAATTTACCTTAAATTTGTATCAATAAACCAAGATCTATACCAATGCAAACTATTCATATTTATATCATATCCCCCTTTAAATGTAAACAAACATTTATAGACAATATTTGGAAATATAGGTGTAGTTATTTTTCTCCAGACTGCTTCCTGCTGTTTATTGGGCAAAGTAATTTTTTGAGGGGTTTCACCCAACCTTTCGGGAGGCGCAGTCTATCATACCACATTGGTCAGGAAGCAATCCACAGGTTCTCATCTTCTGCGAAAACAGAAGAAAAACCTCTTTTCAAAACAAACATATCCTTAAAATCAAATTTTGGAATCAAGATACTTTTATGTTGGTTTAACTTAGCAGTTCATACAATGAAATGTCTCAATTGTCATCTTTTTTTTTTTTAAATTTTATTTGGAACAGGTTCTTCCCACATCAACAAGGCTGGTTTATAACTTGTAGCAATCTTCCTCTTCAGGCTGCTGAGTGCTGGGATTTTATCTGTGCTTTCATACATAAAATGTTCATAATATAACTGAATGAATTGTATACTATGTAAATTATGTCTCAATAAAGCTTGTATTAAAATAATATTCATTAATTACAAAATGTGAGGTTTATATTCTGATTTCTAAGAAAAGATCAAACTATTGAAAGTGGAAATGAAATAAGTGTGAGCTGAATTATCAGTGAACTGGAGTGTTGCAGGTTTTTATATATTTGTTTGTAATTTATATATTTATTGATGGTAGATTGGTGTGCTTGTATCCATCCATGCTTTTGGTCATGCAATTGTCAAAGCACTATGTTGAGGTCAGAGGGTGAGTTTCAGAAGTCAGTTTTCTTTCTGACCATTGAGTGAGGGACTTGGTGATTTAATGAATGTCAGGCTTCCTTTACCTGATAAATGCTGAGCCATATTTTTGTCTCTATTTTTTACTTCATATGGGGATTATGGTTGTGTTGGAGAATTATATTTATCTATTGAAATAACAGTTTGGAATTTGTCTCCTTACTTGAATATTTCTATTTTATATTTAAGAGGCTGTGTATGTGTGTGCATGTGTGTGCATGTGTGTGTGTGCTTGCACATGTATACGTCATATCTTTCATGTTGAGTCAGAGGACTAGTGTGTAGAGTTTGTTCTCTCCTAATTTGTTTTCAGAGTCTTATACATATTTTTTTGTTTTTAAATGTTTTTCAAAAGAGAAAACAAACTCTCTTTTCATTTTACATACTAATTCCAGTTCCCACTGCCTCCCCTCCTCCCATTCCCTCTACCTTCTCCACCACCCTCAGGCACTCTGTAGCAAGGGTAAGGCACATTGCTCTGAGGAAGGACCAAGGCTCTCCCCAATATATCCAGGCTGATCAAGGTATCCATCCAAAGAGAATGGGCTCTAAATAGCTAGTACAAGCATCAGGGACAAATCCTGGTTCAACTACTAGTTGCCCCGAATTTTGCCCCTGCCATACAAATGTCACCCACATTTAGAGGGTCTAGTTTGGTCCAATGCTGGTTCCTTCCCTGCCAGGTCAGGGTTGATGAGCTCCCTTTAGTAGTTTGGGTAAGCTATTTTTGTGGGTGTACCCATCATCGTCTTGACCTCTGCTCATATTCTCACTCCTTCCACTCTTCACTGTGGGACTCTGCCCCTGTTTTCATCAGTTGCTGGATGAAGTTTCTATGGTGACATTTATACTGTCGAATATCTTGCATATCACCATAGAACCTTCATCTGGTGATGGATGGAGATAGAGACAGAGACCCACACTGGAGCACCGGACTGAGCTCCCAAGGTCCCAATGAGGAGCAGAAGGAGGGAGAACATGAGCAAGTAAGTCAGGACCACGAGGGGTGCACCCACCCACTGAGACAGTGAGGCTGATCTATTGGGAGCTCACCAAGGCCAGCTGGACTGTGATTGAAAAAGCATGGGATAAAACCGGACTCTCTGAACATGACGGACAATGAGGGCTGATGAGAAGCCAAGGACAATGGCATGGGGTTTTGATCCTACTTCATGTTCTGGCTTTGTGGGAGCCTAGCCAGTTTGGATGTTCACCTTCCTAGACATGGACGGAGGGGGGAGGACCTTGGACTTTCCACAGGGCAGAGAACCCTGACTGCTCTTTGGACTGGAGAGGGAGGGGGAGAAGAGTGGGAGGAGGGAGAGGGAAATGGGAGGCTGGGAGGAGGCGGAAACTTTTTTTTCTTTTTCTCAATAAAAAATAAAAAAAAAAGATAGTCATCAAACAAGACAAGACAAAACAAAACAAACTAAAAAAGATAGCCATCAGTCTATCTACACGGAAAGGCCAGTTTGGGTACCCTCTCCACTGTTGCTTAGGGTCTTAGCTGGGGTCATTCTGTGGATTCCTGGGAATATCTCAAGTGCCAGGTTTCTTGCTAGTCTCATAATGGCTCCCTCAATCAAAATATCTCTTTCCTTGCTCTCATCTCTGTCCTTCTTCCATCTTGACTATCCTGTTCCCTTAAGTTCTCCTACCCCTTTTTCTTCTTATTTCACCTTGTTATTTAGCTTCTCTAGGGTCATAGACTATATGCTCATTTTCCTTTGCTTTACAGCTAGTATTCACCTATGAGTGAGTACATACCATGTTCATCTTTCTGGGTCTGTGTTACCTCACTCAGGATGATTTTTTTCTAGTTCCATAGATTTGAATGCAAATTTCAAGAGGTTATTGTTTTTTTTTCTGCTGAGTACTACTCCATTGTATAAGTGTACCACATTTTCTTCACCCATTCTTCAGTTGAGGGGAATCTCTGTAGTGTCTAGGCTCTGGCTATTACAAATAATGCTGCTATGAACATAGTTGAACAAATGTCCTTGTAGTATGATTTTACATCCTTTCGGTATATGCCCAAGAGTGGTATTGCTGGGTCCTGAGGTAGGTTGATTCCCAATTTTCTGAGATACCGCTGTACTGCTTTCCAGAGTGGTTGTGCAAGTTTGCATTCCCACCAGCAATGGAGGAGTGTTCCCCTTACTCCTCATCTTCTCCAGCATAAGCTATCATTGGTGCTTTGGATCTTAGTCATTCTGACTGGTGTAAGATGTTATCTCAGAGTCGTTTTGATTTGCATTCCTGATGGCTAAGGATGTTGAAAATGTCTTTTGGCCATTTGAGATTATTCTGTTGGGAATAGTCTGTTTAGTTCTGTATCCCATTTTTTAACTGTATTATTTGGAATTTTGATGTCTAATCTTTTGAGGTTTTTTATTATTTTTTTAAATTTATTTATTTATTAAAGATTTCTGCCTCCTCCCCGCCACCGCCTCCCATTTCCCCCCCTCCCCCGATCAAGTCCCCCTCCCTCAACAGCTCGAAGAGCAATCAGGGTTCCCTGACCTGTGGGAAGTCCAAGGACCACCCACCTCCATCCAGGTCTAGTAAGGTGAGCATCCAAACTGCCTAGGCTCCCTCAAAGCCAGTACATGCAGTAGGATCAAA